TCCTTGATCATTTTACGCAGACACCAACCGATAAATTATAATTTGCGAAAGTGTAAAAATCAAAAAATACGAACACGTGAACGTAAATATATTTCGAGTGTGTGTACACGTGATCATCAATAGATAATATTCATGACAAATAATTACTGGCATGCTGGAAAAACGATTGTTACGCAACATTCTCTAAAATAGTCAAATAAAAAGATAGTGATGTGAGTCATAGTGAAGACTATTTAAGTAAATGCCATAATAGTCGTGGCACTTGTCTCACACAAAATCTGAAGTATTTGTTTCGCGTTATGATTTTATGTTATCGCCTTTGAGTCCGGTGCGATATAATTCCATCAATTACATGCGCACGAGACTCTAACAGCTTAGTCAACAATAATTATGTTTTAGCCTTCGTGTTAAAATTTCAAATTCGTTTATCAATTATATGTTTTTTATTGTACGCTATCTAAATTAATGGCGTTATTATTACTTAGGATATCTAGTAGTTTATTTTAAGTACACGGTGATAAAATAAAAGACACGTATTACAATTAAATGACTCGGGTCGCAAAATAAACGTAAGCCGACGGAGAAGAAGAAATAATATTAAAATTATACCATATTAGTAAAAAGTAAAAAATCATATCGTTTAGAAAAAAAAATGTGCCAATTCAAAAGGAAATGTATCTACGTCCTAGAAAATTTTTATGGTAAAAAAATTATTCTTTCTTGAACGTTTAAATCAATGTAAACGTACCGCTTGTAAATAAAATTAATCATAGAAACCTGCAGAGCTTTTTACATCATTGTTCGTACCTAGTAATATTCGTTTTAAAAGTACTCGTAAGGTGTAGGAATGGGCAATTTGTCTGTTTAGTCATTTGACAACTCGTTAAGCATATATTTACAACATCATGTGATGTTCACTCGCATGACTCCGGGAAAATATATTTTGGATATCCCCTTCGTTTCATCTGTCAACATCGCGTTTGTTAAAAAAATATAATTTCCATACAACTTGGCACCAAGTGGAGTACTAACTTTTTCAAGTTCGCACAATGTCGTTTTTTTATGAATGTATCATTAATTATAACATTCTATAATGTTTTAACCTAGTTTTTCGAGTTAAATAAATGACCTAAAAAACAACGAGCAGAGCATGCACCATGAACGCACAGGATACTTTTTGTTTTCGTTTGGCGCCCACGACTGTTCAGTTGTCCCACAGGAATGTTACCACATTGGGTAAGCCAAGCGGCCAAATAATTTACACGTTTGTACTTAATTTATCGCATGACAAGCGCAGTTTTTTTCTGCGTGAAAAATGTCCACTGCGCCTTGCGACAATTACTCTTTAAAAGTACGAGTAGATTCGATTAATCGAAAAACTGTTCTCTTCGGTGTAAAGACAATAAAATGGGTTCCTTAGTCATAACAGTGTTACAACTAATGTGCATATTGCGCACTCGAAAAACTGTGGTAACGTCAGAGTAATTGCCACACCAGTTGTTGACAAAAATAGGTGACAAACAACTACTCGACGAATTATTCTCGTCTGAGGATTTCTGAAAAAGGCAAACAACATGCTAAGCGGCAGGTACACTCGAAAGAAAACCTCGTTTTGAACTGGTAGTCAAGTAATAATTATTGTCAGTCGATTACTCGATTGACGAAATCGATTGTTGAATTGTTCGCAGTGCGCGTACAATAATAATAACCGTTTGTAGGACCGAACGAAGAAACGAGAATCGTTAAAAATGGTAATAGATCTACTCGGAGAAGAATATGCTGTTGGAAGCCAGGCGGACACCATCGATGGTATTATAAGTGCGAATGATTATTATTGTTCGAAACAACGTGTTGTACAATAAAGAATAGATTATTGAGTGAGATGCTGTTGGCGGCGGATGAGCTCGACTCGAAAAGAATGTTTGCGTGTTTCGTGAACAAAAACTATCGAGTTAACTCGACCACGAGTCCGTCGCGTGTCCAAATCATTCAGAGTTCCATTCATGATAACCCGAAATGCGTGATCAACGACCGGTCATAATTAATTGAAGCAATGGTCATTCGGTAATAACTCACGCCAGTGTTGGTATATTCCAACGAATTACCCGGTCGAGTGAGTTGTTCTAGCGAAAACGAGTAAAACATTCGCTGGACGAGTTCACTTTCTATTTTCTAATGACGGCAGAAATTTATGTCAACGCCAACAGTTTATTTTTTTTTTTGGAAAAAACGATCAACATACCGCCGCGCACTGCGCGTTGGGTCTCTGTGGTCGATAACCGACAAATTCGGTAGCTACTAAGTTATGTAAGCCTATTAGTTGTCAGCCGACAGCACTCGTTCGACAAGAGCACTCCCATGAAATAATCGATGCAATTTTATTTGTGCGAGACCCCAGAAAAAGGTTATATTTCAGCGTTGTTCGCTCTAAAATGTTCAGAAGTAGTTTGTACGACTGCCGATTAGATGCCAGCGGATGCTAAATTTATAATTCGTCGGTAGGTGTACGACGCAACGGCGACGAACGAGAGAGACGGATGAAGAAACGCACTCATGACGCTCGTGTTTGACATTCAGATATTCAATGTTTAGATGTTCTAATGTTCGTTTTATTTATAAAAAGTCTGTCCGACCTTACCGGGTTGAGACGCAAAAAAATCATTATGTCGCCAATATTATGACTGCCGCCGTACTGAAATTGCTCGTTTTTACAAATGGCTATTGTTGTTGTTATTTCTATTCATTCGTAAAAATATTATACACCGCGACTCGTTGGACACAAGATCGCGCCGTTTAAATGTGGTCAAAATCTAACCGAAGCGACATCCATTCATCTGTTCAACCGTTTCTATGCAGTTGACAAGACCCTTGTCCTTAAGGGTAGATAAACGTCAAAGGTGATTTACCGGACCTCTATTTTTCCCTACCGAAAAGTCCAAGGAAAATTGGTCTTTGTGAACGTATTACTGAAAACTCTTCCCCGTCAAAGCATTTCGTCGAAAGTAATTAATTGATTGTATATCAATTTTATACGGGAAATATTTACAGAATAGGAGTACCGATCTCGAATGTAAAAGGTATTCAAAAACAGACTGTCAAAAGTAATTGGGCGTTATAAGGAAATCGTCTTTATTAAAAAAAAAAAATTAATTAACGGTAAAAATAATTCACGCGAACGTGATGATTATTTTTAAGTAGGTTAACGTGTAATAAGTAAATTTTCAATATTTAAAATTGTTTAAATTCCGCGCGTTATATATTTTGCAAAGTAACCTAATAAATAAAAATGTTGACCTGGTAAAAAAATGAAAACTAAAAGGTATTCACATTTAAGTCGTTAGGATTATCATGTTACTCTAATGGGGTAAAAATCGATTAGCTACCGTCATCATGTTGGGTAGGAAAATGCGTTAGTAAAGTCTATAAAGCATAGCCATTGAACTTGATACGTTTTTGTAGGCACAATGTAAATCAATACACTAATTATATACAGTTTAGGAACGCACATGCCGATGGTGGCGATGGAACCAGTGGGAATACAGTGCACATTAACATATTTTATTTTTTTAGTGTGTGCAAACATTAAACCCGCTATAGATTTTCCACGGGGAATTCAATGCCATTAATTATAATAAATGTATACACATTTTAAATCAATATTTAAATAATAAGCACAGTGAATAATAATTTATTTTTACGGCCATTAAACTCGTTTATATTTAACAATTAATTCAAACGTCAGACAAAACGTTGAATTTAGTTCGGGTGGATTTAATTTGTTAATTATACGAACGTAAAGAATTATTACTTGATCGGTTTATTAGGGAAAATATTTTTAATTGATCACGAAATACAGCCAAAATGGTATTGTAGCTTTATTGTAGTGTTCGTCGATTGTCTGTACTTAACGTTTTTTAACTAATTACATGCCCTGGCCTACTAAATATAAAGCCCTAATTTTTCAAGTTTAATTTCTGTGATGTTTTCTATACAGTAAAATATAATAGACAGGAAATGAGTAAAACATGTAATGATAATCATGCACGTTTACATATAGTCTATAGGTAATAGTTCTCTACATTGTGTACACATCCAACTTCCAAGTAACGAATGGATAAAACTTGGAAAACAGCAACAAAACAAACAAAGAGACAGTTTTATCAGATAAAAGAAAAATAATTCTAACATGACATTACCGATACTCTATCAGCTATTTGACTACACGAATTTTTATTAAAGGTACGCGTTTAGTAGACGATTTATTTGTTTAGTTGTTGTTTATATACTATTTGCGTGCAAATTTTTATTAAAATAAAACTAGTGGGTGGTGACAGTAAAAAAAAAATGCTCTTCAATGAAAATGTGATGTTGGAACAGTTTGGTATGTTTTAATGTGTTCAATATTTGCTCAGATGTGAAAACTGTTATACCAATTTCGAATATATTGAACCTACAGACTTCATTACCAACAAAGACATCGTTTTATAGGACTTTGGTGTGTTAAATGCCGTTGGTCGTTAACGCACATTAACCATAGAAGTGTGTGTGTGTGTGTGTTAAGATATATGTATGTATACGGAGTGTACATTATGCGTGAATAACTCGCGTGTTAATATTAATATCAACAATAGTAACTAAAACACTCATAGGGTTTTGTTATTTTTATAATTATGTTATAAACACAAGACTAAAAACAAGTAATGAGGCGGTTGAAAAATGTATGTATTTGTTGTAAAATAATAATACAAGTGTTGCCCTATAGGAACACATTGTACACACATATATATATATATATATGTATATATATGGAAAGCACAATACACACTTTATGGTGACATGCCAACAAATAAGCGCTCATGCATTTAAATATATAGAAGAGTACATCATAGAGCGTATTTCAGCTTGGATAACAAACGTATTAGATATTTTTTACGTTAAAAAAGAAAATAATACAGCAATATTATTATTATAATGGTTTTAGATTTCCAAAGCATACATACGCACACCTGCAGTTTTCTGTCATCATTGTCGAATGTCTGGAGAATTATATCTTCGGCCGAGACAGGTATACCCACCCCGACCTGAAAATTGGCAAGCGTGTCAAGAAAAAGCCATACCACCAATATAAAATAAAATAAAAATTTAAGGACAGTGAAAACCTATAATATTTACTAAATCATCATTTTTATCGTGTTATGTAAAAACCACGTGTTCATATTGATACACACTGAGAACCATTGAACCGCGTATGCTTAATGTGTGCCAGTCTGCGGTGTCGGGTAACAGAGTGTTAGATATCATCTGGACAACACGTGATAGATCCCTAAGTTCAACTCCAGGACCAGAGACGTGCGACTAAGAGAAAACCCCCAGAAACGATCGCGAACACCGTCAAACATATTTTTTAACAGGAATGCGGCGGATTTCAACAAGAAGATATCAGTGTAAACGACGGTAATTGCAAATTTAAATAATAAAAAGTACGATAATAAATAAAAGTTAATGACATAGCTGTGGAACCAACAACATTAACTTTAACATTAATATCAACAATTTGAAGTGAATAACTTTAGCGAGACTTACCGTCGATTTCATAGGCACTCCGTCTCCGACGGCGGCGAAATGATGCGACATAATGATGCGTCGGTCTTGGGTAGCCCTGTTCGTGCTGTGCTGCAGTGCAGTGACTGTCTGTGTGCAAGTGTTTGGGTGCCGTGGCTACGAATGATTTCTGTAGTTATTAGCCGGTGGAGGTGATGCCGAAGTTATGTGTTGCACGCTAAACACGATTAGAATTTAAGAAAATAATTAATTGTGTCACCGGCACTTGTTGATTGCGGTGATTGCGATTCGTACCTATTTATACTATGTATGTTATTTAATCGTGATATGACTGATGGTGGTGCTGCTCCAGTCAGTGTGTGGCATGCGCGTCGTGCGCGAGATGTAACGGCGTTCTGAGGGACGATGGTGCGTCGTGCAGAACGGTCCGCTATGAACTGCTGTGGTTGTCGCTCCGGCGCAGACACGGCTGCCGCCGCCACCGCTGTAGAAGCCCGCGCGCGTGGTGGTCCGGTGGGCCACGCCTAGTCGCTCCGACGTAGCGGTGCAAAATTTACACTGAAAAAAAAAAACGCTAATAATAATCATAACGAAAAAGCATCTCCAAAATTGACCGACGCATTTGCGGGCGGGAGATAGGCCAAGGGATGCTCCGAGTGCCCGGGAAACTACACTCTGGCGCCCTCGTGGGGAAAGCACATTACTTCCGGCGGGCGTTATTTCCGTTTTCAAGTTCAGAGCTCATCAACAATAATAAAGTTGTACCGTTTAACCTTATCAAAACGCATGACGTAACGTTAACAAACGGGTCAGAAATCAAAACTGACATAGTAATATTACAATCACACCAAGTATCAAAAAATAAACAACATTTACCAATATAAATTCATTGTAATTTAGGCTTCGATATCAACACGACCTGTACGATTAAAAAGATCATGTCAAATTCCATCATTAACATGTGTAAAATAGTAAAGAATTTGATGATATTTTTTAAGTAACGATTAACTAACATAATGGTAACCAAAAATTACCTCAATTGTTAATATTTAGATAACGGTAAATAGTACATTTGGGTTTGTACCGTTGTACATATGAAGTACTACGCAGTATCGATTCAAAATAACTCAAGGTCATATTTTGGATTTAAAACCTTTGCAAATACTCAGATTGAGCTGAAACACTTTAAAACGAATGTTTGTAGGATTGAAATGTTTATAAAATGTACATTTGTTGTTCTGTACTTGCTCCTTATTGACATTCTGATTAAAATATGCTGTTTGAAGTTCATTCTTCCAATTGATAATAAGTCTTTTGCAAAGTATCCTTCTGTCCATATTTTTTAACGCGGTGCAACTATTTGAATAATTCTCATTAGTTACATCTTAAGGATATATACTATTGAGATATATGACCGTATTTCAATAAAATTTTTTGTGCGTATTATACAGACGAAACACTTTAAAACTATTATAACGACATAGCAGCTCTTTAATAAAAAAATATTGACATTGGCATAAGTATACAAAGGTTGCTCAATGCGAAAAACATAAAAAGACCAGTGTAAGATATATTCCAAACATTACTAAATATCAGTATGATATTTTTAATATACATATTAATTTTTCACACGTGTAGTGTAATTTTGACATAAAGTTCGTACACAAATACAACAATTGCATCATTATTTATTAAAATTTGCCCTTATCTTTAAATTCCAATACATGTAGAGATGGACTGAGGAGTATTGGGACCACATTGATAGAATAAAATTCGGTTCGCATCACTATGCAATAATTTGAGACAAAATTAATGATTTGGATGAACATAGGGAGAACCTTAATGTTATAGACTACTAATTTTTTTGTAGTTATAATAATGCAATCCCCTTGGTTAATTAACTTAAATAATTTTAGCCCCTCTAAATATTTTAAAAATTACCCGTTAATGGATTTATTATGTATATGTTTGTGTAACTGTTTCATGTATAATATAAACGAAAAAATCATTTTTTCAAATCAATCTAATATTTAAATAATCACAAAAGCAATGATCAACACTGTGCTACTATTCAACAGCACAGTACCGTTTTTGAATATATGAATGTAAAAACTGGGATATTTTTTTTAAAAGTACCCATAAATGTAATAACAATTTAAGTCTATGGAGCAGAATACTTACCATTTATAGACACCTATTAAATAGGTGTTAATTTAATGTCACACAGTCAAAGAAAAAATGTATTTATTTTTTGCAAATGAAAAGTTTATCTTTGTTTGCAGGACAGAGAACTTTCAGAACTTGTATTTTTAACATATACATAAGAATAAGTCTCACAGACAGAAATTTGTTTTATGCTACAACGGATCAAATAGTAAAATTTGCATTGAATATTTTTAAATGTTATGTTCTTTCTTACCTTTTAAAGTATGTTTGGCATATATAAGGACTTTTAATACTTTTTAAACATTTCTTCTCGAAATAACATTTTATTAAGATAAATTAATATGTGTACATAATTAATACATTTTAAGAGCTTCTCTTCTTTATTTATTTGCTTCCATTAATGCAATAATTGTTATGATATTACTATTTTTGTTATTTTATAAATTTACGCCCAATGGACTAGAGTATAAAAGTACATAATGAAAATGTTTGAATATGAAACTAAATAACACACTACAAAATAAAAATATTATAATATTATTATAATAACTGTAATTTTGTTGGTGGAGTAAAGATGGCGAGAGTTAAAACAAGGAACATGACAAATAATTTTCCTAATAACTCTAAACAATCTAAAAAGTTATTTGGTAACTTATAAATAAAATTGACATCATTTTACTGTCTCCGTTTTACAAGGGGGTCCATCTGTATGTAGTCAGAGATATTATTGTTATAGTAATTACGTTAAAATCGACTAATCACGACTTCAGTTTTAAGTTATGCGTTTAACCAATAATATTATATCGAAAACCTATCTATTTTGTCCAGAACCATATTTAAGGTTTTGATGTTGAGTGGCTACTTAGATTTTAGCAGTTTTCAAATTTTTCAGAATGACATTTTTCATTACAGGTCAACTTATTTACTCGTTGACAGAAATAAGTCTGCAATGTATAACCCACAAATTTTCTTGAGGTACAGAAAATCTAATCTATATATTAACTAATTTAATGTAATTGATAGTTCGATGCGTAGCTGTAAACCCATTGGTTTACCTTTGCCGTTTTTTTGTTTTTTTGTGACACTGAACACGTTTATTCAACTTCTACTTCTATGAGTAATTGGCAAAGATTAGTTCCAGTCAGGCTAGCCCGATCGATTAGAATTTAGCCCTGCCCAAAATTCGGGTTGGGCAAGGGTAAGATCAAACATCGTTCTATAGATTAAACATATTTTAATTTTAGTGGTTGTGAAAATTTGTTTAAGTTTATTCAAATACGTATCGTGTCGTTTTTCAAGTGATTGAAAACATCCCATAAGAATTTTTTCCAAATAAAAGTTAATTTTTTTTTGCATCTAGAAATAACGAATCTCATTTTAACGATTTGGTATTAAAAAATATTTTCTCCTGACACAGCGATTTTTTTTTAATAAGTTCTTATAAAAATTTAATTTAATTTATATTAATTAATAATTTAATTTAAAAATTGAATATTTTCCAACATTAAAAAAAATCATATTCTTTGACGATGGCATATTCAATGTTTCAAACGGGGAGGGATTTAAAGAAACTTATTTAATAGAAGCTTAATTTTTATCAGTTAAACGAATATTTTGATTTTAATTGAATACATTTTTTATATAAAATATTAGGTACTTTTTTGAAACATCTATTTTTTGCATAAATATGTTTTTAGATATCTGAAAAGTGCATAAGGGTTTATATGCACCTTTTTGTTTTTAAATACCAAAATTCTATTTTAGAACAAGCTATCACTACTAAGTAAACCTGTCGAGTTTTTAATTAATAATTTATGACAAATTAAATTATCAAAAAATATTATTAAAAAATTATTATTTATAATGCATACTTTCATGTAATACTTTTTATTATTAATGTAACAAGAGTCTCTAATGTTACATTTTCTTCAAGTTATTCACGCCTTATAACTCTATTATCATATTTATCCATTGTACATTAGAATTGTATAGATTGTAAATTTTTAAATAAACGCAATTAAAAAAAAAAACTCCAGCACAGTGGGGTCGCGGCCCTGTAAGGACGTGACGTAGTTGGGTCCAGTAAAGACTTAATCTGACAGTAATTTAAATTATTATGATAAAAAACGCTTCGATGCAAATCTGTAGTAGTGTTTCATTTTGAAAAATTGATAAATTATTCTATAAGCAACATGATTTCCTATTTCCTTATTTACATTCTTATTTATATGTATAAATATTTATTATAGCAATTAAGTATAGTATGAAATTGATATTTAATATCTTAGTATTATAATTTTTACGGAGAAATTATAAAAAATTATAAAGTAGTTATTACTTCTATGGCAATCGTATTTAAAAGTTGAAGGGTTCGATGCAATACTTAAAAAAAATTGTTTGTTATTTATAAATAAATTTTACTAGTCAATAAGGAATTTTCATAGAGACCAAAATATACTTTCCTAAACCCATTTTTGCACCGATTTTAAATCTGCAATTAGAGTTTCGCATATGGTCTAAATAATAACAAAATCCTTCTAATTAATGTAACAAATATTGATGTTTGATTATTAGGTTACGTATGAATAATCAATAAGTTGAAAAAGTTCTATTTTTTATATGCATTTTTATGTTTTAAACCACCTCTGTATAAAAGGAAATGGTCGGATTTAAAAAAAAAAGTATGTAATGAAGTATATAAATAGTACTTAGCATAAAAGAATTGTAATGATCCATACATTTTTCAAAAAATTATAGCATTATAAAGTTAAAAATATAAAAAGAATTTTTTTACAAAAATCATATTTTTTTTATTATCTTTAATGTCTGTTTTCACTATTGAACAAAATAAAGTCTGAATTTTATTTTCATACTAAAGCATATTACATTAGCTTTAATTTAAGACATACATATAAAAGTGTTAGTATTTCCGGAACACTTTCAAAAGTTAATTTTTTGTGGAAAAAATGTAATTTTGAATCCCTCCTTGTGGGCAGGTAAAGGGTCAGATTTATAAAAAAATATATTCAAAATGATAGGTAAGTTCCTCGTGTATCTATAAAAAATTATTATATAGATTTGGTAATTTTCAAAAAAGTTTTGGCAGTTATAAGTAAAAAAATTGAAAATATGTTGAATATTATCGATTTTTAAATTTGTAATTTTTTTGAGATTTATGAGATTCCCCATTTATGGGGAACGAGGGAAATTTTTTTTAGGGTAATATCTTTGACTAGATACGATTTGTGATTTTTCACGTATCGTTGAAAGAAATCGGTTCGGTGAGAGTTGAGAAAAAA